ATGTCAGCATAGCCCATCGTACTGCCTTCCGTGGGTCAGAGGGAGATCTTCTCTCCTGATAAAATATAATAAACAACATTATAATAATAAAATGCTAATTTCATTTTAAAGAGGGTTTCCCCCCCTCTTTTAGTAGGGAGTTGTATTGTTACGGAGAGCACGGTTATGCTAATGACAGACTACTTAGCTGATTTTACATTAATATAATAAACATTACCTGTCTTAATGTGTTGTACTGTATTATGGCAAAATAAGTCTAAAAGTGAGATTCCATTTTGCATAATGAAACAGCATCGCAGTTTCTGCGTGAATGGTTCCAACAGGGGCATTTTTTTGGTTGTTATTTTGAAGGATGAAATATACTGTGTTGGAAATGTTTTAGTCTCGGGATGGAAGCAGGTCCTGCCTTCAGCACTTCTTATTTTGCTGGGCTCTGCTCTGGCTTGTGGCATCGTGCTTCTCCGTTTGCCAGCGTATCAGTGGTTTATCTTCTCCTGTGGCATGAGCAAAGCTGTTTTGCATTGTTTCGGCTGAGCTTTTTTTTACATTTCAAATGTATTGGACATAATAGGTTTCTAATAAGACAGCTCAGGTTAATTGTTTGGTTTTGCCTGGCTGTGTCTATTTTTATTGGTAGCCCAGTATTTTTAACTGTTCCTCAGCGACTTGCTCTTTCTGCGTTCAGCTGTGTTTTGCTCCGTTTAACTTCTATCACAAAACCTTTAACCAAAGAATTGCTGTCTGGAAATCGGAGGTGCCTGGTGTGAGGGCTTACTGAAATCAAGTTTGAACATACATCGCAGGAGAAAAGGATTTTCTGGCAGAATTATTCTTTATGAATTAAGGAAATCCTCCCCATCTTCCATGCATGCCTGCTAACAGTTAACAGAACCACAACCGTATCCAGCACCGAAGGCACGTTGTGTGAAAATGGCATTCTTTCTTTTTTTTTTTTTCTCCTCACTTCATACAAGATTAAACTACTTGAAATTATTTAGCTAGTATTTAATTATATTAATATCACTGAAAATGGGGGAATGGAGATGATTAAATAGGACTAAATCATTTTCATCCCCGTGACCCTTGTCTGGCTTGTATGGAGGAGTGACAAATGCATCCCTGCTGTAACTCCGTTGTGGAGTTAAAGGTGAACTTGGCCCAAGTTGGTGGAAGTTTTCCTTGGTCGGTCTCGCCAAAATACGGCGTGTTTGCGGAGCTTGAGACTGGGGGTAGCGGAGGGGGCTGCGGGGGACGGGAGGGCTTTGGGGGATGCGGAGAAGCAGAGCAGGCAAAACCCTGCGAGAAATAGCGTCTGAAAACAATTGTGAGTATTAAAGACATTTTTTGCCGTTGATGGTATTAGCATGTCAGCAGGTCTGTACTAGTACAGCTCCCAAAGCCAAATTGCAGCTGTATTTTTACCTTTGCTGCCAGGTTTACATGCAGCTGGGTATCTACCACACCCTATTGTTATCAGTCAACAATACCAAAAGTAGTTCACTAATCATATCAATAACAACAATCGTGTTTCATGTGGAAAAGAGAAATAAACAACTTAAAAAAGGGAAAGATTGATTTCTGCCCTGCATGCTAACTTAGCATTCTTTAAATATATCTGCCAGTAGTTTAATTTGAACTTCAACTCCCTGAAGGCAGTAAGACAGAATTATTTTAGTTCTTCATAAACTGCCTTCTGTGATTCATTGTTAACTCATAAAACACGCTCATTTTCATGTACTTAAACAGTTAAGCCATTTTTAAAGTTGGTTTGTAATTTTTTTGGCAACACATTTAAGTTGACATCTGAGAGATAGAAATCTAAAATTAATTTATAGCCCTCAGTTTAGGTTTCATTTACTATCAGACAAAATATCAGAAATAAATATTTTTTATCTAACGTAATGTGGAGTATATTGCACAGTATCTAGAATAAAGTTTAGTTTTGACTGAATACACTCAAAAAGGGACCCATAAATATTAGAGAGCTGTAGTTAAGAACTTACATGACTGTTTTAAATACTATTGATTTAAACCACTGGCTAGATTTTATGAATCAAAGTGTAATTTCCAAGCTTTGGCTATATTTCTCATCGCTAAAGCACTCTCTCTTGTGTGCCTTTAGCAGCTTTCCAGACATTCAACACGGGATTAAATGATAGTAGTTACAATGATCAATAGGTTAAGACCGGTACAATCACTCTTACCGCTAATGACCTCGGTAGTAATGGGTAATAAAGTGTGGGCTATAATAGCCTATTGCTGGTGCTGCATGCCCTTTGATTCCTAGTATTACCAGGGACTAGCTACATGAAAAAGTTGGACGTTGGGAGTTAAGAGAGTGGATATATAGGCCATCATTCTTAACTATTTAAAGTCCTCAAACCCTACACGTGCCCGCGCTTGCCTGGGGTGCGCGCGTCGTTTTTAACACGGTAGTTTCTTGCTTACTTGAATTCACTTGTCAAAGGTTGCCGTGAGTTGCTTTCGTGATGAGCCGAAGTACAAACTTGGGCTAAACGTGGCCGATAGCCGTGTTTATAAATGGAAGGCGGGCCCTCTCTAGAGGCGCAGATGTGGTGTGAAAATGTGGTTTCAAATGGTAAAATGAAGTTGAACGGAACAACGCAAACTTGTGCTCCTAGGTGTGCCATATATATATATATATATACACACACACATATGTAATTTTTTTTTTTTCCTTGGTGGTTAAGTGCATCTGTTGTAGCAAAGAGTGTGCAGCTAGGAGATTCTTCACTGGAAGGTACATGGCCAGTTTTCAAAGATAGGGCCAAATCCGTAGATTTGTCCCAAGATAAACGTGCAAAAAAGCCATGGAAGTGAACGGGAGTTGTCTCTGCATAGCTGACGGCAGAATGCGGCCTTTCGTATTAATCACCGATGTGTAGGGTTTACAGCACTCCACCCTATTCCTGTCTGTATCCCTGCTTGTCGTCATAAATCTGACTGAAGAGTATTTGTGTTGTCTATCTTCCAAGAAGGGCACAGAAAACATACTTAAACATGCTTCCTCTTCTGTTTGCTCAGTCCAACTTCAATGAAAGGTAGTACAAACCCGAGGGTAAAGTAAACTTCTCTGGGGATGAGAATAATGAAGGTGAGTCACGCTTTGGGGTGAAGATAGTGACGGTAGTATTTAATTAAATAATTTTCTGAAAAGTTTTTAAAAGACGACGGATTAAGATACTCTGAATTAATGGGATTACCCATCCCGATGACTCAGTGTCCTCAGAGCTGGTCCTGCGCGGCGAGGAGGTGGCACGGCGTGGCGGCCGGCCGGTGGCTTTCCCGTAGGCACGGCCAAGCGACGCCAGCCAGGGGAGAAGGGCCGCTGGCTTCGGCGGGACTGGCGTTTGACCCGTAATTAAATCTCTGTTTGCCCGCGTTCCCACCGGCCTGGGCCGCGTTGGGCGGGTGGGAATGCGCTGCGCCACGGGGAGCGCGCGGCAGTGGGACGTCGGAGGCGTGCGAGCCTTGGCTGGGCTTCGCTCGGCGGAATGTTTTCGAGGCAGTGTCTGGCCCTGGCACACGCCTTGTACACAACAACACGGGGAGCTGTGCCGTGTACGTGTGTCTGACCTTCAGGAACCATTTTTAGTTCATCAAAATTAGTGATGCTGAGAAATCAGGACATCAGTGCATAATGACTGTGAAATTAGGAATGAGAGCTTGCTATGCAAATGACAGGACAAATCATGTGAAAAAGTCAAGATAAACTGCATATTAAGACATTATGTTACATAAAATTAATACTGCATTTCTCTCTTGCTTACTGCTACACTGGAAGATCTTTTTATTTAACTCCTTTATCTTCTGATCAGCTATTGTCTGCTGGTTTTTTAAGAAGTGGTGCACAGAAAAAGTGCTAAACATATTATTACCTTTTATTGTAACACATGAGATGACAGGAGATCCTTTTTAGCAAAGTATATCCTTTACTGCTTTTAGTTTTGTGCTGTCACGTATTTGATTTGAAACTATAGAAAAGTAGGGTGCTTAAATATTACTGTTAAAACTCATACGGGTTTTGTCTTTTCCTCTATTGTGTTTTTTTTCTCCTCCTTTTCTTTTCCTTTTTTGGGGTGGAGGGTAGAGGGGTGGGTTTCTAGGGAAATAGTCTTCTTGCATTACTAGGACTGACAAAATGGTTCTCATGTAGTCTGCAAATTAAACACAAGTGCAGTGATTATTTTGAATAGCTAAATTACATTCTAGAAAGCTTGCAGAATTCATAGCATTGTCATTAGGTATCCGCTTGAATACAATTTGTGTAACCTTGGCCAAGACAGCCTGTCATTTTAATGTCAGTGTTTTATCTGAACAAGACATCATCCTTTCAGATACAGTGTACAGGTTCCTTGCAAAGATGCCCGTGCAGAAACGTGTTAACAGTTGCAAATATGAAATGCTATCAAGTTCATCACTGTAGCTGTTTGTCACTGAAATGTCATGGAAAGCGGCTTTTAATGGTATCTCACATAATATGAAAGAATTGAAGACATCTGTATGCTGGGTGAATATGGAATGGTAAAGACATCGTGGTAGGGCCTTTCTGTTAAAATTGCATGGGAGTCTAGTGCTGTTATTCACATCACTGAGCCTTCCTTCAATTTTCTTAAAAACCTGTCGTAATAGGGTGTAGATCCCATCAGCGCAGGATACTTGGCTGTTGGATTTCTGTACGGAAGGCAAGGGCTTTCTGGGAGGGAAAGGACCAAGTTTGACGGTTTCTTGTAAAAATAAATAAGTCTTAACAGGGTTTACCGTACTGCTTGCTGTAAAGAGTTGCCATCGCAATCATGTTTTGCAAAGGGGGAATTCAGTCGCCGGGAAAATCCGGTTGGTACCTCTGTGCCTGCTGCGGTGGGCTGTAAGGCCTCTCTCGCCTTCAGCACCCTCGACGCCAGGCGTGGGGATGGCGGGCGGCGCGTTGGAGCCGCGGCGGTGCGCTCTGACCCCCTCTTTGCTCTCCTCTCGCGCTTCAGGTTCCAGTGTCGGTGGCTATGATGACACCTCAAGTGATCACTCCCCAGCAAATGCAGCAGATCCTCCAGCAACAAGTGCTAACTCCCCAGCAACTCCAAGTCCTGCTCCAACAGCAGCAGGCACTCATGCTTCAACAGGTAATTGTTTCCTTAACAGCTGCTCAGGTGGCCCTTAGGGATACCGGAGGGCTTCGCCTCCCGAGATGTTCCTGGGGAAAGAAGCTGCCCACGGCTCGGGTCCGAACCTCGGAGCAGCTGTGCTCTGAGATGAACTGACTGCTCTTTTGTTTTTAATTCTAGAAATAGCTACTGAAAACAAACCCAGGGAGCAGGGCTAGGAGTGTTTCCAAGATCAGCTAAATAATACAGATGCATATTTAAGTGTCAGGACTTCGGCAGATGTCCCTGTTGCTTTTGCCTGCCTCCCCCAGAAAGCGTGGCGTGCCCTGACTAACGGGGAATAAACAAGGTAGTAGGGTGATAATTCCCATTTTAGACCTAGTTACGTCCATCTGGAACCGTAAAGGGCTATGGAAACGGTGGCAATAAAAGTGAAGAGGTTTGCAAGCCTTCATCTGTTTGATTTAAGGCAACGTGTGCCGTGCGGTGTGTCAGTGTTTCTCACAGCCCGTGGTCCTTTTTCAGCTGAAGCTTGGCCACCGACAAACCCCGAGGCTCCGTTATCTTCGGGTACAGCACGGGGGGAGGGGACACGACACGACTCACAAATCCCAGGCGGGCGTCAGCATCCACCCCAGCCCAACCTTGTGTGCTCCCTCCTGCCCATGCTGGAGCGCTGCCTGCACGGCACACATCTGGGGAGCGGGGAGGAGGAGAGTATTTCCCAGGATGTCTATGCACGTATTGAACAACACTTCATACAGTCAAACCCTATCATTTAGAAAGCATGTGTGTTTCACAACAGAGATTCGCCAGGCTCTCTCAGCAAGGGCATTTTGGCTTTGTTGTTACAATCAAAGGTCATTCCTTGCCTTATTTTAATTAGTTTGTGTAGAAAATGGTATGTTTTTCATCAGTTCATTTTGGAGATTACTTTTCAAACGATAATGCCAAGAATAGTCAGTGTGCACTGAATTTATTGTTGAGTTTCAAACTAAAGGTCAGACCATTACAGATAAAAGGATGCTATTTTTCAAATCACAGTTTGTGTGTTACACCAAAAGGGACACTGAATTGGCCGTCCACTTTGTTACTTACCATCTTTCCTTTTCTTTGTAGCAGCAGCTTCAAGAGTTTTATAAGAAACAACAGGAACAGTTGCAGCTTCAACTTTTACAGCAACAACATGCTGGAAAACAGCCTAAAGAGGTACAGACAATACCCATTTTACTTTCAAACCACAGATCCCCGGGGACTGTCTAGTGGCTATTAAACTGTCATTCATCTTATAAATGATTGCACAACTGAACTGACTCTATCGGGTCTCAGCTTTCAGATTTAGAGTTATTGTCCTGTTTTCGCCTGCATTTTCCTGTGCTTTCCATTTGCTTGCTGCCACATATTTTATAGCAGGGGACCATGCCTTGATGTTTGGTATGAGCACTGGAGCAAGCATCTCGACTTGGATCTTGGGAGAGTGCTTTTGGAAGTTAGTTATGTTGGGGAGGGGAGGGGGCAAGGCAGCAGGCCCAGATACGGTGCTGCCCTCTCGCAGCGGGGCAGAATGCCAAGAGATGTTGAGTTTGGGCTTGGCGGTTTCCAACCGGAGAGGTTCTGGTTGCACGTTCCTCGCAGCGTGGGCTGGGCGGGAGGGACCGCACCGGGGCAGCGTCGGTGGTGACACCGAGAAGCGAGGTCTGAGAGGCGGAGGGAGTGCGGGAACGCTTCCCGTGGTGGCCGGGGACCTCGCTCTGATGCCACCGCGGTCTGTGGCAGCAACGGGACAGGCCAAGGTAGTTCCCGCCTGTCCTTCAAATGTGCGCTTTCCTTTCAAGGTACCTGTCACGTCCTAAACTTGTGGTTTTTGATGCGCTTAAATTTAACTTTGCTGCAATTAAATTTCTTTTTAAGGCACCGAGCTCACCTCTAGTCACGAGGAGTTTGAGATTTTAATGTTTCATCTGACATCAGCGCTGGCTCGGGTAGATCCTAGAAAGCTGCCTCTTGGCACGAGGCGCTGCGTGATGTCCTGCGATAGCGGCAGCGCTCGTGTGACGCTTTGCAAGTGACGTTGCTGGAAGCAGGCACCGATTTCTGCCCCCCCCACCCTCCCTTGAAATTTCGGCAAATCGTGCCACCTGTGCCAAGTTTCAACCCAGAGTGAATTTTTCCAGCTGAGTTATAAACCCCTGAAAATAGGGGGGGTTATAATGGAAACGCTGACACAACCTTAACCATAGCGCGCTTACGGGCGCCACTATAATAAAAAGGGAACAGATTAAAAAGTGTCTAAAATGTAAATCTAAAGGACTAACAGTAATTAAAATGGAAATGGCACAGGGAGGGAAGGCATGTAATTGTGAGATATCACTGTGCAGAATGCTCTCAGCTTTGTTTTGCTGGCTGTTTTTCTAATTCAGTAGGGCTTACTCATCAGTGGCAGTTCAATGCGCGTTAATGACTCTGGGATGCAGGCATCACTCTGGACAAAGAAATGATTATTGTGCGGTCAAAAGAAGTTCAAAGACAAGAAGGGAATTTCAGTTTTTTCCTTAGAGATCCACATTCAAGAGCATATAAATTAAGCCAAATGTTAAAAACCACAGTCTGAAAGCTGACTTCAAAGTCACAACTCTCTAATTAATGAACTGCGAGCTTCAGTTTGGACAAGTCGTGGTTTGATGCGCCCATAAATCAACATGACAGGTCTGTTTCACAGTCTCAGACAGCGCTTGTCATTGAGTCACATCAGATGTAAACACAGCAGAAAAAAGAGGGAATATGAAGGAGGTGCAATTGATCAACAGAATTGGTAAAAACCCACTTTTGAAACGCATTATGCATGATCACAGGAAATGGCGATAGCCTCAAGAGGCTTTCTCCTTCTGCTGTTGCTTTTTTGAATCAGATTTCTAACAGCCTTCAAAAGGGAGAATAAGAATTATGGAGCTTCTCCCCTGTGGCTGGCAGGCAATAACCCCCTGTTGTTATTTTGTGCTTCTTTCTTTTCAAAGGCGTCAAAATTTAGTTTTTTAAAGATCTTTAACTCTATATTTGAAGACAAACAATAAAGGGCTGCCACTGTCATTCTTATCAGTTACCAGGGATTGTATTTTTTCTTTCTGTTGCCACTTCTTATTAACCTCTTATTTGGTCTATTAGACATAGTTTTGAATGCAAGCCTGCATGCTGGGAGAACATGAAAGTTCAGATGAGCTCAGAGGGCAGATAAAGAAATTTGAAGGGGAAAGTTACACAGCAGAATGAACGATAAAAGTTAACTCTTCTAAATTGCTGTTGTCAGACAGGAGAGCATCTCAGACACAAAGATGAGGGCTTGGAGCTTAAAGAAAAAAAACACTTTGTGTTAAAAAAGACGAGAAGGGAAGTTAGACAATGTGATGGCATTTCAATATCTTAACACACTGATTTACTGTGGTCACACTTCTGATACTACGCTATCGAAAGCAACAATAAGAAAGACTCCTTCCTGTGTCAAGAAGAGCATTTTAACACGGTAGCTGTTCAGAGAACAAGGGGCCCAAGTCTATTTGACATTTTCGAGGGTTTCGGGGGTGTATTTTTGCTGATGGTTTTAGTAGAGGCCCGTTTGCACGATGGATTTCATCCCGCAGGTTGGTTCAGCCCCGTTTTTCCTGCCTGAAGGAGGTTGTTGCTCTCGCTAAATTAGCACGCGAGCAGTAGGTTTGTTTTTTGGTTTGGGTGTTGGGGTGGGTTTTTTTGGGTTTTGGTGTTTTTTTTCGTCTCCCTCTCGTACTAAAAACCGACGGTCGGGTCACGTGGCGCGAAGTGCCGCGGCGAGGACCGCGGTGGGGACCGGCGGCTCCCGCCGTGCTAACGAGGGCCGAGTTCGTACCTTGACAGATGGAACAAGTGTATTCATGTCCCGCATCCCCCAAGTCGTTTTGTTAGTGCCTTGTCCTATTGTGCTGCCGTGAAAGAAGAAAAAACACAACAAATTTCCCCAGCGCTGCTGGTAAAAGGGATCTGACCCCCAGGCAGGATGACAGACGGAGCCCAGGAAGGTTTCTGGTGGGTTTGACTCAAGGGCGGCGCGGGGGGCGAGCGCTGCACCGTGCCCGACAGCCGGAGCCAGAGGTGCCGGGGCGAGAGCTCAGCCCTGCGCCCCACGGGGCTGCCTCTGCTCCGGCGAAGTCGGGTCTCCCCAAGGCGAGGGGGGCTTTAGAGCCGCGGGAGGATCCCGCTCGGAGCCGTGGCGCTGGATGGAGCGGGTTGTTTTCCGTGCAGGGCCGTTTGTCCTCCGGCAGTTGTGACAGTTTATGTTAGGCAGTAGGGAGTAACCTAAGAAAGGAAAACAGACCTTTGACAGAAGCTTTAGGGAGGGGATCAAAAATGCAAGTTTTATCAGGATATTTCAGCATTTTAACGCTGACTACTGACCTGACAACAGGACTGCACTGAGACCTTTTTTGTATGCATTCAATTGTGAGAAGTAAACAAACTGCCTTGTATCCTGTGTTTGGTAACTGGGTGGGGAGCGCAGTTTGGCAACGTGTCTTGCTTTTAAATTCTTTCTTGGACAATGGGCCTTGTATACTTTTATATCCTGGCTTTTCAAAGTAGAGAGTGTTCAAGAGCTTTTCTTAGGATGGCTGAGAAGACAACCAAATGGGCATCAGTCAATTTATGGAAAGGTTTTTGGTTTCTTTTTTTTTTTAAAAAAAAAAAACCCAACTTTACACTCAGATGGCAAACACAGCTTACTGTAACTAGATTTTTATGTAATAACATTTATTTTTTATATATATATATATTTAGAAAATGAATAATTATGGGGGCAAACATTACTTTAACTCTTAATAGAACTATTGCTGGGGCTTGCGTTCATGTGATGCTGTTGCAAATGGTTGCAACCGCTGGATCTGTCCGAGCAAGCTGTTGCGAAGAGGTGAAAACTCTCCCAAGCTTCAGAATATCTAAACACCTATTTGTTTAACTGTGTTCTTGGAGTCCCAGATTTTCTTTGGAAATAAGACAATTTGGCTTTATAAATAAGATAAACTGACTGACTGTCATTGCAGTCGTGGGTAAACGGTTGGTTGCAGTGTTAAGGTTGATGGGGCATGGTGGTACAAGAAGGTGGGGGCCAAACCGCTGGCTGGTGTCCATCCGTCCTGTTCCTGCAGCTCTGGTGGATTTTTTTGCCCTGCTTGACACCAGTCGGGAATGGGGCCAGTGATCCTCTGGCTTGGTGTCAAGGAAGGGTGACAAAAAGCTTGGGATCTGGCTGGGGTTTGTTTGTGAAAGTATGCAGTTTTGTAAGAGTTAATTTTCTTTCCATAATTGTTAGCCATAATGTGTGTAAGACCTCCACCTTGATATGATTCCTAGCAGATTAGGGATATTAGATAATTTCCTTCTATTTATTGTACTACTGCACTGTATTATCTTTCTATCACTCAGATAATTACTAAGGAAATCTACATTAATTTTTTTTGGCTAGCACAAGGAACTGCTAAACACTGGCATGATGTATTGATGTTTTACACAACAAAAGTTTTCCTCCTGTCATTGTACAATAAATAAAAAGATATTTATCAAAATGCAAAGCCTTTCATGGATTTTAAAGAACAAAGCAAATAAAATACAAGATGAGCATGGAAGCAAAACCTAGAGGCTTCCTTAACTGAACAAAATTAAGGACTCTGAAGCCTGGAGTACTGTACATATTAAACACTCACATTCAAGTAAGATGTTGTTTGCTAAATTATGAATGTGTGTAATTAAAATCTAGTGGCTGTTTCTATGAAAGATTTACAATGTTATTTCATCGTTTGTCATGGCTAATTAACAATATTAGATGAAGTTTTTCTTCTTCAAAGGTCTGATTTTTTCTCATTTATTTATGTCAGAAGTGATAAACAGAGTAGTTAAAAGCTTCTCCGGGTACAGTAGTGAGAAAAGCAACATGTTCTTTTACACCTCGAAGGTTCAGGGTTCACATCCCTGTGGAGTAAAGCAACTCCATCTTCTTTCTAGTGAGAATAATTAAAATTTTCAAAGTGCAGAAGTAGCAGCCTTAAATACAGCACAGAATAATTCCGAATGTTACAGAAAGTACTGTGGGGCTTGATGGATGAATAAGAGAGAGTAAGTATAAAATACCATAAATTAAGCCAGTCATATTGCCTTAATAGTTGAGACAGCCCTTGCATGAGCAAACAGAGCACAGTGCAGGGTTGTTTTTCATTACATCTAAGTGTGATGTGATCGTGCGGTGTGATTCTCACATTATACGTGTTCTTGGCCTCAAAAGAATTACCCAGGACTTGAGCAGCTGCCAGCAGCGTTGGCTTTACCCACCACTGAAATGCAGCCACTTCTGGGGTAAAACGTGACCACGTGGACCAGGGTGACGCGGTAGCGTGGACGGAGAAACACTACATACATTTTTAATTAGGATTGCAGGAGGGATTTAGGGAGGATGAAAGTAACCACTGGAGGTGGGAATCGACTGCAGCCCTGTGGTTAGCTCTAGCACCTTGGGGTCTTTGATATGGGGTGGCGGGCTCACTAGCTTGCCTTGATACCGGGTGACTACGATCAGAAGTTGAAGTGTGTTGAGACAAGGAGCCCTGTAAATCCTCTGTTAATGCTTTGCTCTGTATTGACAAATGTGCATTTTTTTTTAAATTTTTTTTTTTAATTTATTATTTTTTTCTTTTCCAGCCCCAGCAACAGCAGGTGGCTACGCAGCAGTTGGCCTTCCAGCAGCAACTCTTACAGATGCAGCAGTTGCAACAGCAGCACCTCCTGTCTTTGCAGCGTCAGGGGCTGCTAACGATCCAGCCTGGCCAGCCTACTCTGCCTTTGCAACCCCTTGCACAAGGTAGGTGAGGGGTTTGGGAGCTGCCGGCTGTCTGGCAAAGCGATAGCATGCGCGCACACAGAATTGTCACTCAGTGAGAGACAGAGAGAGACCTCACAGGCTCATAAAGTAATAAGCACAGAAAAATCATGACAGGCAGGGTGGCCATCATGAAGGTATTTTTTTTGAGAAGGGCAACGCTGAAATCGTGGATGGCTCTGGAGGCGAGTTTGGATTCAATTTGCACAGCTATGGCTGGTCTGGCGGACTCGAAGCTGCTGGTTGTACTAATCTGGGCTTGGAATCCTTCACAGGAGGCATCTTAACCGATTCTTGGTGCAGGGTTTGTGGCTAAGGGTAGCCTGAGAGCAGCTCTTTCTTTTCCAAGTGTGTTATTTGGGCCCTTTCTGGTTCCAGCCTGGCGAGGAGCCGAGCGCAGAGGAGCTCTGGTCTGCACGCTGCCGAGCTGTAGCAATGTGATGGCCCTTTGCTGCAGCTGGGAGGGAGAGGTGGCAGTGTCTCCTCTCCGTGCCTGTTCACACGGCCTTCATTTCACTGCCTGGCTGCATCATAGCTTCGTTCCTCGCTCCACGCTGAGGCAAATTGGGATTAACTCCGTTTAATTTTAATGGTGCTATTGACAATTAGATCCTCCTACATCTTTATTCAGTCCTGCACTCAGCAAGAAGTTACTCCTTTGCTGAAATCTCTGTTTATTTTTTTTTTTTTTTAAGATATTGATACATTGAAAGCAATGGCTCTTTAAATCACAATACTTTTGACTGTCATTGTAACCTGAGGGTTTTATTCTCTCTTTTCCTCTTTGGCTTTAAACTTTTTTTTTTTTTTAACCTGGGTTTGTCTGCAAGCCTTGGGACTTTTTAACAGACTTGCCTGAGCTCTGGCTGCCGGTATTAAGGCAGAGTGTTCGACGTTGGCATGGCTCAGGGAAGACCAGGTCTTTCAACCATGATGCTGGTATTTCTGAATAATCATGCCTTTTCCTTCCCTTGCCCCATAATAAATTTAAACATCCACCTCAACAGCTTGAGTCAGCTCGGGTTGAATGATTTGGGCTCTTCAAAGCAGCCTTAGGGCTGCTACTAGTTGCTAAACCATATAATGAATTTACATTCAGCTCTATTCAGTTAAATGGGGGAGAGGGGGTGAAATTGCTTCTGTTCTTCGCCCTCTTTTTTTATGTGTACATAGCTGCAGAAAGGCAAGCAAGGTGGCTGGGGAATGTTTACTTACATGGCTAAAGGGAGACAAAACCGGGGAGTGGAGTCCGCTTTGCCGAGTGGCTGGCGTGGTTTATTTAGCCTTATTTTTCCCAGACCCACAGGTCACCAAACACCAAAAGGTATTTGGGTGCCTAACTCCTCTGTTGAAAGGCTAAGCTTTTGGGGCTCAGACACATCCCTCTGCAAGACTCAGTGTAGCTTTCCAACACCCAGAGCTGGACGCTTGCTCTAGGCTAGTCCTGTGCATGAGTCAGAGGCTGATGTACGGGAAGGTGGTGCCTGGCTGGGAGCTGCAGGATCGGTCCTGGGGTGGTAGTTGGTCGGTCACTGTCGATGGGGAGAAGGTATGAAATGAGTCGAGGAAAAAGGGCATGGAGATGAAATGCCATTTATACTTGCAAAATGTTGTAACGTGCATTAATTACACTTCAGATTTATTGTTGGAAGCATCCCAGGCTGTTCCCACACACCCACCGGACTCAAGCTTCAGCCTTTCTAATTTTTCCCACAGCTCCTATACTATTAAGTTGGCTCGGTAAGGTTCATTGTATAGTACATCAGTTAAGCTGTCCAAAGGAGGGCAATTGGGCAGTGACAAGACACGCTCATGTGTAATGTGAAAGAAATGAATGTGGTGATGCATGAAGTGTAATCTGTGCGGTAACACATCGGAGACACCAGTAGGTAATTCAGCCGTCGTGGCATTGATTGATACGGTTAGCAGGGTAGTGTAACTATTAGTCCTCGTGAAGAAGCGTATTTAAAACCTGAGGGGTGCCGACTTGCACGCCGGAGACGACATAAACATAAGCAGAAAGGGCTGGTTCTTGCAGGGAAATGAGCTGCCAGCCCTGGGGGGGCTGGAGCCGGGGGCTCGGCGGCGGGAGGAAAGAGTAAGTTGAGAATGCAGGCAGGTTGCAATACAGCACAGTATTTTATTTTTTTTTTATCAGAGAGACGATGGCTTAAAACTGATGTCATTATGAGGTTTAAATCAACTTTCTGCTTGCTTGAACATGGTCACCTGGGTATGGAGGTACAAGGACACAAAGAGGTTGAGCAACTCTGTTTGTCTTTGAGCCGGTGATACCTGGGGTTGGGAAATTGAGTTCCGTGAGCAGTAATCTGTCAACTGTCCCCACAACATACATTTTTTAAACCTGTGCCTACATTTTCTTTCATAATGAAGAGGACTAGTTGTCCTGAAAAATGCAATGAAGAGCCAGGGCTATAGTTTAAAATAATTGGTAATGGACACTTCTTACTTAAAAAAAAAATTACATGTATCGTGCCCTTTTGTTTTTCAGAACAGTTGGCAAGACTGAGACAAATACAGTAAATGTGCATATAAAAAAAAAAATCATCCCTCTAGTAAATGTAGCTATGAATTCAGTTAAAAGCGTTCTCCTTTTAAGTATCTGTAATAGTAATAAATGTTTCTAAGGAGAGAATGCCGCTTTGTAAGTGGCATTTTTTGTGACGTTTTTAGAACTAATACATTGTTTAAACCTGTATTTTAGTTTCATTTTAGTTTTTTAGTGCTCGCCTATTGTCTTACACAAAATAGCACATCCTTTAATGTTATATTTGTGTAATCTTTGCTGCTTTGTATTTAGACACATCTATAATCTGGATTTTACATCTGTACGTAGTAGCAATTTAAAAATAAACTACATTTCAGCAATGTTCTGAGCTGCAAGAGCTAGATCCTTAGTATCTGCAAAATGGAACTGCAAATCACACCTCAGATCACCAGCGAGTGAAAATAATAGGACTGAGACATCTGGGTGCCTGATTGCTCCTGTAGCTTTGGCAGTTTCAGGTCTAAATCCCGTTACTGGTACATACGAAGTTGCAGCACCGGCAGCAGCGATCTCTGGTAATTGCAGCGCAGTTCTGGGAATCTGAGTTAAAACTTAGCTCTTGCTGTTCAAATGAAACTGTTAAATGGTAAAGTACATAATTTATTGCGAGTGTTCGTGGATCTATTTGACTTGCTTTTACCGTTTGTTCTATTATTTTATTTAACCATTTTGCCGGATGAGTAATGAGCATACCTTTCAGCTGCCCAGTTTGACAGGCTAGTTAGGAATTCTCTCCAGGATTATTCTAAAGGAACTAAATTTGGGGAAGGAGGAGAGAGGCTTTTTTAAAATTTCATTTTATTAATCAAGTGATGTAGTCATTTTTAAGCGATGGGTTGCGTGCAGACGGGTGACGTCACAGTTAACTCTAAATTAACGTCACCCAGCCTGAAATCCTCCTTATTATCTCCAGCATTTTTTCCCCCACACAGTTGGGTATATTTTATTTTTCTTTCAATATGTGGTATAGTTGTGGTTAGTGCTGATAGGGGTTACACTTTTATGGGAAGTCTGACCAAACAAACACCTTTCCTTTCAGAGGTATAAATATTATGTGTATGTATATTTTAACGGCTGCAACACTTGCAAGCTTTTCCTTGGGATAAAGCTTTAGTAGATCCAGAAGTGACCAGCAGGGGAGAGGAGAAAAGGGGACAGGGAGAGGAGAGTGGGTGCTAGCCCATTGCTAATTAAAACCCTGCAGAAATCCAGATGAAGGGGGTGGTGGCAAAAAAAAAAAAAAAAGG